GTTTAAGAGAAACTTTAAATTGAGATTGAATTTCATAATAGGTGATGATGTAAGCTAGAGTATATGTATTAGTAGTAGAGTCAATGATTTATTCAAAAGCTTTCTTTTTTGATAATTCTTGAATTCCATCATTTTCAGCTACTGTTTGTAAATATTTTTTTAGATATTGGTAAAAATAGTATGTTGTTTGGGCTACTTTACTATTAACATTGTTAAGTAATGTAAAGCTTTCTTTAGAAGATATAGCTAATTTTCTTAATTCAGTTATAGGTGTTAGTTTTAAGAAAGTTGCTGCTAGTTGTTGATCAAGTTGAAATAATTTGGTTTCTAAAGGAGGATATTCCTATTCTTTTGAATTAGATTCTAATACTAAATGAGATTTGAATGATTGAGAGAAGTAATATTGAGAAATGTTTTCGAGCTTGTGTTCTGTCTTATCTGGAAGTAAGTTGCATGATTTGCTATAACATTTATAAAAATGATGTAGTGCTGCTTTGAAGGTAGCTTTAAAGCATTCTTGAAGTGAAGATAAAGTATTTGGAAAAGAATAAGTTTCTGGTAAAAGTTCTTTGTAATCTTCGACAAGCTTTTGAGATATTAATATTTTGATATAGTTGCTTGTTTTTTGTTGATCAATTTTTTCAAATTGAATTTTGTATTTATTAAAAAAATTTTGAAACTAGGTTTCATAGGTTTGGGTATAGGATTTGAATAAGAGAATTTTGAAGTCATCTTCAAATTTTTTGACAAGAATGTTTAATGTGACTTTAATATTAAATCTATTGTTATTTTGGATATCAAATAATAGCTTATTTGCAGTATAATTTATATTAAATTTTAAAGTAAAGTGTAAAGGTTTGATGTTAAGTTTTTCTATGAATTTTTTGAAGTTAATAGTTTTGTAAGTATAATTTAGATATAAGTATAGATGAGCTATATTAATGACAACATTTTTCTGTTGTTTGTTGAATATGGTAGAATAGAATAATATGATCAAAAGATGTATATATAGTTCAGTTAAATAAAAAGTATTATTATAAATTTTGCAACTAAGCCTTTAAGAGTTTTAACTAAAACTTTGAAAGAAATGGAGTTTGATTGATCGAACTCAGGATTAGCTTCAAGGATAAAGTCTATTAGAAACTTAGGTTTGCTATTGGCCATTTTGTTGAGTATGTAGTTAAATAAGTATTTAGTAGAAGGTCTATTGCTAGGTTTTAAATCAGTTAGATCAGTAGGAATTTCTTGTTCAAGATTAAAATTTACAAGATATGAATTTAGAAATAAAAAACTTTTAAGACTAAAGATGTGCTTAATTTGCTATGTTGTTGCATTTCAGGAGTAATAGGATAATTTAAAAACTAGTTAAAGTCATTTGTTGTATTATATTTTTTTGTATAGTTTTTTTTTCATTTTCTTTTTATTTATCTTATTGTTTTAAAACATTATTATTTGGGGTTTTTTATATTTTGTTATTTTTAGTTTGACTATTGTTCTTAAATTCATTTGTAGTTTTGGTTTTTTTAGATAGTTTTTAGAGAAATTTCTTAAAAAGTATATATTTATCTTCTGTTGATAATTGTTAGCATTTGATTTTACAATATAAATTGCATTGTTCTCAGTTCATAGATATTAAGGGAGTTGAGTATTTAAGTTTAAAAAGATGAATGCATTGTGTATAAGCAGGAAGGCTTCCTTCACTAGTTATAAAGATTAGAGCTTGTGAGTTAAGTAAATGTTTATTGTCTTTAAAAATAATACATGATATATTCTTGATTTTGCATATAATACATTATATGCATAATGTAAAAATGGTTTGAAAGAGATTGGGTTTGTAGAGGTTTTTCTAATATCATTACAGAAGGTAGAAAATGAATAAGTAATTTTATGTTTTGATTAGAATTTAGATCTTGAAAGGCTTTTAAAAGATTTGAAGAGTTTCATATCAAAATCTATTTTCATAGAATTAGATGCATTAGAAGTATTTTTAGAAGTTGGTTAAGAGTATGATGGAATAGTAATGTGTTGTGAAACAAAGTAGGTATGATATTTTTTACAATAACAGATAATAATAACAGGTTTAATAAGTTTTATGAAGAAATGAAAGTTATTTTGAAGGTTATATGTTTTAGGATTGAAATTGATAGGTAGAACTTTAAGAGTATGAATATTGCTATCATGAGTAACAGTACTGGAACTGTTACTATGTTTGGCAATGTAATTATCGAGATCAAAAGAATCAGGTTTACAGTATTAATGCTTGGCATTATATGTAAATAGCTTTAAGAATAATGTTTATAAAATTTAAATAATATGAATTATTTGTATAATGTTGTTTACAAGAAAAATTTCTTAATTATCTAGACTTCCAGACTATTTAGAAGTGATCTGTGAAGTGTGGTATATTTGTAAAAGCTAATTGGATGTTTAGAAAATTTTAATGGGTACCAAGAAAGTGAAAAATCTAGGGCAATCTAGCAGTTTTTTCTAAAATGCCAACAAAAAAATCTGTAAAGACAGGTTTTAGTTTTCATCTTTTTGTTTGTATCTTGGTAAGTTTTGATTTGTTTATAATAAATTATATATCAAAATGACCAGAACAGAGAGCTTGTTCTTTTTTTAATAGATAACAAGATACTGTATATTTAATTAGTAAAATATATAGTAAATAAGCAAAAACCAAATTTTTGATTTTTAAAACGTTTCTCAAGAGCCAGGTATTGTAGGAACCCAAAACTTGATCACCTAGGAGGAGAAAAATCAGTTCAACAACTTTACTTAAGAGTGTAGGCAAGGTTTATTTAAGAAAATTTTAAGAAATAATTAAATATTTTTAGCAAAATTTTGGTACAAGTGATCTATGAAGAGAGTTACAGAATTGGTCTTATAACATGAATCTTTAATAATATTATTATAAAGACTCAATTATTGAAAATGAATATCAATATTTAGTATTTAAATAAAAAAATATTTTTAGATTAAAGGTACTACTAACCAAACTGCTAATACTGCTAAAAAAAAACTGATATACTAAGAAACAGATTACAATTTTATTAGATTATTTGAATTAGAAGTCTGAAAAAAGACAAGAATATACTAAAATACTAGAAATATACTGTAAAGTAGATGCTAAAATTCAAGTAAACTCTACAAGAACATAACAGTTTAATGGTTAACTCTAATTATAAGTGTTGATTTAATTATAACAATATTAAATTAGTTGTAAAAACAAGTGCAAAAGACTTTAAGAGATTTATTTCAAGAATAAAATAGTTTTAAGATTAAGATGATAAGCTAAAAATAATCTAATGAAGTTAACACAGACTGCAAGTTCAGAGAATTTAAAATGAAACACCCAAGTAAGAGTGTTAGATACAACAATTGGTAAGAAACCTTTGAGCAGGCTTCTTAAATAGATAATATAAAAAAGTTATATATGTAGCCAATTGTATACTCTTTTTGTAGTAGTTCCTTACAAAACACATTACCAAAGAAGCATTAATAAAAATCAAAAGACTAAAGAGGTAACTTTATACTAAAAAAAAACATTAACTTATTATTTATATTAGACACAACATATATTCTTACTAAATTAAAGGTTATTCATAATTATCAAAAATTTATTGATAATTTTGAAGAAAAATTGAGCCTACTTGAAAATTTGGTTGAAGATATTTTACAGTATAAGAGAAGGTGTACCCTACTACAAACATGAAGGAATAGCAACAAAAATACACAATATTATGGATAAAGCTAACATGTAATAATTATGATAGTTTCATAATTATTTTTAAATTTACATTTTTGATTCATATGCTTTAAATATGACAATGAATTAAATGTTCAACAAAAAGTTTTTCTTGTTATATTGAAAGAATGCGTGCAATAATGTGAGATAGAATTTTTTTTCAGTTTTAAATAAATAAAATATTATATTGTTTTTTTTAGAACTTTTAAACAATCCTCAAATTGTTTAAATACATTAAATAAATTAATATGCAAGTTTATATTCACATTATAATTTTATACTTTATTAAATGTTCTAATTCTATATACCATGTAATTAAATTTTTTTTTTTATTCAAAAGGCTTTTTGCTCAATTCGCATATAATAGGCCGAAGGCCGAAATGCACGTGACTGCTACCTCGATTGTTGGTTACGTTGGTGCTGTTATACACGAACAACTCGAATACTTTATCGAATAAACAATAAAACTAACAATTTCCTAAAGAGTAATCGTGTCTTTATATCGATATATGGCTAACTTGAACAATTAATAAAATAATGTAGTGTCTTCATACATGAATAACTTGAGTATAATAATAAACTCGTTAAATGACTATTTGTATCTTCATATACATTTGGCTGTTGCCTCCTTCATAATTGCACTAAACCTTATATTTTAAACACGACATTGTTATTAATTGTTTAACATATCCGTTGCTAAAGTAAAACTGTTATATTGAACTTATAAGAAGATTCTTGTGATATTTGTTATCCACTAGATAATAACTTCCACAACCATTTTGATTTATATTTTTTTCGAAAATGTGTCAAGAAAGTAAAGTTCAACGGTATTGTTACTTGTATTTCAACGCATTTAAATAAAAACAAAGAAGGTTCTCTAATATTGATGAAAGTTGGACGTTGTACCAGCAAGGTCCTAATAAAGGCAACGAACATTATAAAACACCTCGTTTTTACTGTCCAATTGCTTGAGACGTGAAAAACTACAAGTTATAAAATAACGCTAACACTTTTTAATTAATCAATAAAATCAAGATCGAATCCCACTATTAAAAAGTTTATTTACAACATCTTATTTATAAATAGACATATTCCGCCAAGCGTAAATTTAAAAAACTACATACAATATATACACAATGCTATAGTATGGTAAATGTCATTTAGATAATGCAAAGTTAAAACGTGGATAAAATGAATCCACTATCTCACATTGTTCAAATTTACTCCATTAGTAAAAAAAAAAACATATCAGTTATTGATTGTCCAAATCAAAATATCGCCTAGATTTTTCCAAAACTTCAAAGTATCTATAAGACTTATGATTCAAGAAACAATTAGGAATAGATTTTTCGATAAAATCTAATTTTCTTTGTGGTCTCGATATAAGTTTTTGTAAACTTGATGAATCATTTTCAAGTAAAGCTTTTAATTCATCAAATTTTAATCCATGTTCTAATAATTTATTATTTCCGAATAAACTTTGTTGCCTTGATATAGGTTTCCTACCATCATGGAAAAATCGAACTTCATTTCCAATATGAGCGTTATTTAAAACTTCAACTTTTTTGGTAAAACGTCTAACATTTTGATCCTCAAATGTTGGAGGTATTTTAGGAATTAAATCATCATCAGCGACAATCCTCCATAAATTTCTACCATAATTTAAAGGATCATTAGCTAAATAAGAAAATTCAGCTGCAAAATCATTATCAACACAAGGTGGACTTGCGAAAGTGAATGCATCACGTAAAATACAATTTTCATCTAATTTTGTAGGAGTTTTCATTAACCAAGCATAAAATAATGTCGCAAATGCTGCACCTATAGAATGCCCAGTGATCCATAAATTTACTGGATGATTATTTTTTTGATTAATTTCTGCAACTTTAATTCGAATTGTATCTGCCATTCTTAATGCGGCACAGGTATTTGCATTATTAGTTCCAAATAGTGATTTAAAATAACCTTCGTGAACTTTACCAAAAAGATATGGACTTGCATCCATGCGCTGGAAAGCTGTGTCAGTTAACATTTGAGCAAAACTGGTTGTAGTTGTTCCTCGAAATGCCACGACAATAAAATTATTTTTCTATAAATATAAATACATTAATATATCATAAAAATTTAAAAAATCAAATAATTTAATAGTATGACATGTTCATTACCTCGGACCAAAACATGCCAGCATAGCAACCACCAAGATGGTTCAATTCCGATATAGAAGTAAATTTAAGATCAAACTGATCTATTTGTTCTCTAATTGAATTTTCACTATCATAAAGAAGGTTTAATATTGTTCGTAGTTCTCTGTCTGTTGGCTTTTTTCTCCTTGCATTTAATTTAGTGAATGTCTCGTGTGCATTATGAACCATGTTATCGTCTCGATTATATAAAACAGAAGAAAGATATAAAAGAAACTCTGCTCTATCTAGATTAAAATTACATTCTTGCTGATCAGACAGAACCAAAGGATTATTTAAAGATTCCATGCCAATTGACAACTGACGTGCTGTTTACAAATAAACAAGTTAAAATTATGAACAAAATAAATAATAATGATAATTGTAGAGGACTTACGAATATTAGTAAATGATAATTGTTCCCAATGTGCAATAACATTCCGTTGATGTTGTTTTCGGGAGAGACCCCATGATAACATATTTAATCCTGCCTCCAAATAAAACAACCCAATAGCCAATACGGGGAAACAACAATATTCAAGCCAGAAATTGATAGGTTGGAAAAATGGTGCGGTAAAATCAAATATAATGGTAAGAATCAGACATTCAACAACCCTTCGATAATACATTAAATAGGCCATTGATTGATTAACTAATGGTAAAGACGAAATTCCTACAGGTATTGTACCGGGTTGCGTAGCTTTTAAATCCACCAACCTCGAACAATCATGTTGAGCAATTATTGGTTGTATTAAGTTTGATTGGCTCTGATCAATTTGATGCCTAAACAAAAGTGGACTATTGACCGAGTCTTTAATTTTTTTACCTACAGTATCTAATGTTAAAACATCTTGTTGTATAATTTCACTATTTTTTTTATCATCAATAAGTTTCTTTTTATTAAAAGATCTAACTGGTGTCTTGCCTTTACTTTTTTTAGGATGATCTGATGATGAAGTTTGAAATTGAGGTATTTCGTTATACTCGGGTTCTTTTATCTTTTCGGAATTTGTAACGTCTAAATCAACCTGTGACTTTATTTGTTCAGTGTCTATAACACATTCTCTATTAATTTTGTTATCTTTATTATCTTCAGAACTATTAACGGTTGACATATCATCATGCTCATTTTGAGTTGTTGGTATAATAGGCGAAGCAATTTCTTGATCAGTATGTACAGATAAATTTGCATCAACATTTTTTGATGCCGATGCAATATTATGCGAAGTGAGAACAAGAGATTCGGTTTGTTCATCGAATTTTATAGAATCATAAAGTACGGATGGTGGATTTTTTACCAACATTATAGATGGCATTTCATTATCATGCACAACGTTCTCAACGAACCCGGCCATTGTTTCATCTATTGACTGTTTAACATCAACAATATCTGAATTGACCTGCTTTGTGATGTCATCTAGTCTAACTTGTTCTGCGATATTATTTGGCTTAAAGTTTGGTTCACATTGACTATCCGCATCTCTGGATAATATAATAGTCGGTTCATCTTGCATATTATTTTGGATGTTATTTTGAATGTTGTCTTGAATGCTGTCTTGAATGTTGTCTTGAATGCTGTCTTGAATGCTGTTTTGAATGCTATCTTGAATGCTGTTTTGAATGCTGTCTTGAATGTTATCTTGAATGTTATTTTGAATTTCTTCTTGAACATTGTCTTGAATGTCGTCTTGAACGTCTTCTTGAACATTGTCTTGAACGTCTTGAGCGTTGTCTTGAACGTCGTCTAGAACGTTTTCTGAGGGTATTTGTGCAACTAATTTTGCTGACCCATCATCGTATTCAGATTTTGATGTATGGTATTGGTATTGTCTCTCTTGTTCAATAAACACGTCTTCCAGCCTTACAAGTTGCTGATGAGTGCATTCTTCACGCGGTTCAATACTCTCAATAATTTCTATAGTATTTTCAACAGTTTCTTTATGCGACTCGTGTTTATCAAATTGATTTTCCTGAGACTCCATTATATCATTATTTGCATCGACTAATTCATCAATTTGTTTATCTTTCTCAATATGGTTTTCTAATAGCGGGATAGTCCGCACTTTATTTTGTAAATCCAAATTATACTGTTCATCACAAGATTCTCCATTTTCTAAAGTAATATTGTGTGGCTCTACAATATTCACGCTTTCTTCAGCAACCTCAAATACATCAGCTTTTATACCATCCAGTGTCTTAATCATATTCGTATGATCTTTCTGCGTTATGCTATCTTCAGACGGTTCTGTAGGAAGTTCAGAACTTACTTCAGGAACTTCAACATCCTTGTCTTGTAAGGTTGTTTCATTTTTAAATACATCCCGGTCAACTTCTTTCGATAATGTTTCCGTAATTTCGTAATCTTTTTCACATTCGCTATATTCGACTTTTATTTCAACTTGATTTACAAAGGATTTTCTGTTTGATATTTCAATTTGGTCATGTATAATGGACTGCTCAGTCTCTAAACCATTATAATTTTGCGTGGGATATTCCATCATCCTTTCTTGATCACCTACCGATGGCAATACATTATCGTCATGTATTATAATGCTATCTCCTTGTGTAGTAGATTGTTTTATTTCCAGATTAAATAGATCATTTTCCATAGGATTATAATTCACATCTATTATTTTTTGAAACTGCTCTTGTTTTATATCATCTTTCTCTATAAATAATGAATCCTTATCTCGTGTAACCATTATTTCTTCTTGTATAGTACATTGTTCAAGATTAACCTTGTTTTGAATATCACTATCGTTATTGTCCAATACTGTCTCAATTTGTATATTCTCATAAACTGTCTCCTCATCAACTATCATGTTTTCTTTTACCGTCTGTGATGTACTTTCATCCTGTGTCAACGCACTATCATCCTGTGTCAACGTACTCTCATCCTGTGTTAGCGCACTATCATCCCGTGTCAACGCGTTCTCATATTGTGTCAACGCAATCTCATATTGTGCCAACATACTCTCATACTGTGTCAACGAACTCTCATCCTGTGTCAACGCATTCTCATATTGTGCCAATGCATTCTCATACTGTGTCAACACATTCTCATATTGCGTCAATGTACTCCCATCCTGTGTTAACGCACTCCCATCCTGTGTCAACCCACTCTCATATTGTGTCAACCCACTCTCATTTGATGTAAGCGCATTATTATCCGGTGTAAGCGCACTCTCATCTGATGTGAGCACATTCTCATCCGGTGTAAACGCATTCTCCTCTTGGTTTAACGTAATTCTTTCTTGCACCATAGACTGTTCTGCATTTAGATCTAATGCGTCGTCTTGTACAATATTATAATAATTAACTATTGGTGGCATATTATTGTTTTGTATTCCATCATGCGTAGTGATTTCTAAAGCAGAATGATTATCTATGATACAATGATCAATATTGTTTATACCATCATCTTCCAAGGATGCAGTTCTCTGCTCAATTTTATCTACAGCTGGTGCGTCATTTTCTGAACCTTCCAATGTTTTAAGTTCAAATTCATCTTGTTCAATTTCCTTCATCAATTTTTCAATCTCATCATCAATATCACTACAATAGATTTCCTCGTCGTCATCATTTAAATTCGGATTAGTTACATTGCATGGTTCAATACTTTCTACCAAAGTAGAAGATTTATCTAACTCATTTTGCACAACATTCCTTGTAGATTCTTCAATCTTGACGGAAGAATTTTGTGGTTTTTTATCATTGTCAAAGAGAATTTCATCCAAAATTTCATCGATTCGTTTATCAAAATCTTCTCGTGAACCAAAACTCTTTCTAGGTTTTCTGAATGAAGAATCATTCACAATTTTGTTTCCATCATCCAAAGCAAACCGCATTATTTCATCAACTTCATGGTTTGTATCATGTTTTGCATCATGATTATAAGCCATATTTTTATCATTTTTATCATTTAAAATTGTTTGTTTTTCGATTGTCTTTACACTATTATAAATATTATTTGAAGATATTTTATCTGATTTGACAGTAGAGATAGTATTTTCAAAATCTTCATTAAAATTAGAAACGGAAAAGTTATTCGTTGGATCATATTGTTCATGTTCAGGAGTGATAAATTCCTGCCAAGTCGAAATCATTTCATAATCATCATGCGTTTTATTATATTCAAAGGTAATATCAAAATTCATATCATGACTATCCACATTGTTTAATGAGGATTCTTTGGTTGAACCGACAAAAGTTTTCAAAGGTTTCGACTTTTTCACATCAGGATTTGAGTTTTTTCGAGATTTTTTAGATTCTTTGAATTTCTTGTAAAGATCACTTGAAGTAATCTCAGAACCGAAAAAGAAATCATCTAAATCAGAATTACTATCAGATAAGTCCATCATTAACTTATCGTCATAATCAAATTCATCAGTAAAATCATCATTTAAATAATCATTTTGTACATAATTATCTATTTCATCATTTAGTTCGTCATAATAAGAATTAAATTTATAATCATTTTCAGAGGCCATAGAAGAAGATCTAGATATACGATAATAACTTCCTTCAGAAGTTGCAGACGAAAAAGTAGGTGAAAGTGGAAATAAACTATCTTCGGAAGTTACAGAAGAAGCATTTGAAACTCTCCTGGTAGCACCAATCGGAGTAGTAGGCACTTGTTGTTGGGTAAGTTCTGATGTGAAAGGTGTGACAAAATCATGTCCTTTTGGGATTTCAGAAATGGAAGTCAAATTTGGAGCTGCACTACTAGGTATTGTGTATGAACGTTGCCTTGTGCGTTCAAATGTTGTACGTTTATGAGACGCAGATCGTGGAGATACGGTTGTAGAATCGTTAGACGAATATTCTTTAGGTGAACCGAAACTTGTAGAATTACGTCGTTTGTTTTTGTTATTTACAGCAGGAGTTGTATGCCTGCTTTTCATGGGTGATTCAGCGGAAACTTTTCCCTTGTTATCCGTGGATGTCGACGACGAAACCTTAATTGAAGTTGGTCGTTTTTTTGTACCTGTCAATATTAAAGAAATAGATTTAATTTTTCTTGCCCTTTTTTAATCGCTCAGATCAAGAATCGAATAGCTTTAAATTTTTAATTTATTTTGAACTTTTTTTATTTAAGATTGGATTAACTGAGCATACTGACAACTTTTATTATATATCGTCTATTAAAAATTTAATAATTTATAGTTATTGATTTAGCGCGACATTATATTCTCACCTGTTACTGGATTATTTCTGTTAATTAAAGGTTTGGAACTTTTTGAAACGTCAATTCCAACTAAAGGTTTAACTTGGGAAGTTCGAACTTTCGTAGCATTTTCCGACTCGACATTTAAGTGAGTTTTAGCGTGTTCCGATAATTGAGTTACGTCATGTTCAGTTACTTGTTTCTGAGTGCCATCGGGTCTGAATAATAGTTTTTTAGCATCATCTGGATTTGATAAAGATTTTTTGAATTCAGGACTTTTTTTACCTACAGACGATATAGTAGGTTTTGTAACTTTAACTCGTTTCTTTAAGTCAGTTTCAGATGTTGATGCTAACTTTTTATTGCGTTCGATTGGTTTTTTCACATCTGATGAGGCATTACTAGTTGGTGTTTTTTTACTTTTCATTTTTTTGTTTTTTTTTTTTGTTTTTTTTTTCAAGATTCGAAGGTTTTTAAAAACGGCGTTACTTTATTAATCATTTGTAATTTTGACATCTTGCACAAAAAAAAAAAACCTTATTGTTCTTCAATTGTCACCACAAACAAGTTGATCATCTGACCTAAATATAATTATGTAATTCGGGATAATTTTCCACGTGGTACAATTTGAAAGTTAACGCCAAATTACTTTATTTTAATTACAAATGGCAATCGGGCGTTTCTTGGGGCAACCATTTACCCTGATCCGCCACTTTTAAGACCGGGGGCCAACGACGTTAATATTGATATAAATATTTGACATACTATACTAGATCTGATAAGAATTATTTAAAATTAAAATAACCTACTATTTATACATACATAACCTGCTATATCAAGTTATGTAAAAACACAAGCTAATTAATCAAGTTTCGTAATTTCGTAGACAACATCATGTTAGTAAGTTTTCATTTCATTTTCTTTTTTTCAGCTTTATTAATGTTACACTATAAAATAAGGCTATGGCGATCATTTGACAGCGTGATCCTATCATCGATATCGTCTTAGTAAAAGGACCTATAAGCAAATGCTTTTTAACTTAAAATTTCCGATAAATAGATAATAAGTTCTCTCATTCTGTGTGATCATAAGATAACGATCTGTTATAACTGAATATCATGTATATTCTCGATAGTAAAGTTCGTAAGTGTTATAACTTTATCTTGTCATAACTTAGCATTGGTTACAAAAAAAAAAAAAAAAAAAAAAAAAAAAAATGTCAAACCGGTTTTCAATATAAAGGGTAATTGATCTGTAAACGGTGAAATAAACATGTCTAAACTTGTATTTAAGATTTACTATGAAAACCCAAAAATTCAAAATTCCCGACAGCTAATCTGAAGCCTGGCACTTATTAGATCGTTAAATATTTAATTAAATTGTTATTTTATTGGCCCGGGTAACCATGTGAGATGACTTGCTTTAGACGACCCATAATTTGGAGGTGCGGCCTGTGCTTTATTTATCTTTATAGATTCATAATTGGCAATAGATGCTGAAATATCATCTTAAAGTAGCTATGCAATATCTGCCAAATCTCCATCTAGTACATCATCTTGATTAATGTTGCGGGTTAAACCGTTTAATTATTTAAAAAAAATAATTTCGTTCCATTGTAACTCATCTTCCCGGAAGTCTTTTTTCGAAAGAACATAATCTCGATAAAGTTAGCCGGCGTTAGCTATAATTTTGCTGATTTAGTAGGAATTATGTCCTTTCGGAAATAACTTTCGGAAAATCATATAGCAACCTTTCATTTATGGTACTACAATATGTCTCTACGGGATAAACTATTGGATGCATCTATGCACACGCCAACTTTTGATTTGACGTTTATTTAACTCACACAATTTGGTGCAACACAGTTTAATGTTATTACTACAGTAATGCTCCAAGGTAGGTTTAGGTTATAGTTTCTGTACTCTTTGTTTTATTGCAACGGGCTGATCCGGGATGATCAGATTATTGCCCGATCATCAAATTTGTAGATACAACATTGAATGAGATAAAAAAAAATTAGTGTGATTACACAGAAGTGTAACTGTCATAAAATATTCATTACAATCACAATATACTGTGTGAAACTTTCATAACGCGAATTTTATAATTGGTATTTTTTTGAGTACCAAAATAATGTTTTTCTGAGCGTTATAGTTTTTAAATTTTTGCTTATAAATTTATTTTTTGGGTTTTAACAAAAAAGATTTCTTGTGGGTTTGCAGTTTTTAAAGTGTTGTAGTTAGAGTTAGCATCTAAACTAAGGCTAGAGAATAGTTAGCTATATAGTAAAAAATCGCTCAAGAAAAACTTTTTGTTAGAGCACTAAACGTGGTTTGTAAGCATATTTTTGAGAAATAAGCGATTTTTGACAAACCAAACGTTTGTTTTAATCGTGTTACGTTATACTGTAATCTTAAAATCTGATTTGTAGATTAGGAATCTGCACTACAACGATCTTGATTTTGATTGGTTAGAGCGACGATCACTGAAATTACACAGGATTTTACTAATGAAATCATTGTGAAAAATGTTCCTGGGCTAATTTTACCCTGTGCGGACTAGGGATGGAAAATTCATTTTTCACCGATTAAAACATGATTATGATCCGAATATTTTAAATTTAAACCCGGGTTATAATCATCGCATGATTTAAAGAAAAATGATTTCTTACTATCCTAATGCGGACCTGTTTCTTTGAAAGTTTCTATTTTTGGAATGAAAAAAGTTAAGAAGTAAATTCCGCCAAAAAATTATATAAACAATTATTTGATGGTGCAAAAATTTTGTAAATCATGGCCGTTAGCCAATCAAAATCGAGAATCTGTTATGAAAAAATTGGTGCGGCAGCTAGGGTCAATCATATTGTCACAGGCTGAATAGTCAGGAACGCAGATGGAGAAAATGCGACGAATTGTTGCTACGAAATCGTAGGCGTCGCATAATATTGCTCAAAAGCATGATCAAGATGGTTACAATTTGGCACAGATTAAGGCAATGTTTAAGAGTGTTACTAAATAAGAATAAAGGTTTTTTAAAGAATTTTTATTTTATTTTATAGATTTTTAATAATAATTTTATTATTTTGTAGGGGTACATTTTTATACTACAAACTGCTTTTACAAAAGAAAAAATTTCATCTTTATCTATAATAAAACAATAGTGAGAAGAGCATGCACAAGATATAATTTTTCTTCTTGATTCTTATTGAATTTCAACTTGGTTCATCTTATTTGTTTTAACCTTTAAGCTTTTTATATACAATCTTTTATTACTTTAGCATTTTTTATAATCAAAATAGAACTAATGAGAAATAGTTCAGTATTATTTTTTTGTAATTATAATCCAACATTATTACCACAATTATATTCTTTTGTTATTGTCTTACAGTTATTCTAAATAGAATAAAGTGAAGTTTTTATTTATTTTTAGTCATTATAATATAAACAGGTAGGTTTTGATCAACTTTTCTTTATTGAATAAGTGGTAAGGTTTTATATTAAGACTTGTATATAATTATATAGCTTATTTAAAGTTTGACAAATATGTTTCAAGTAAATTATTATAAGTATTATTGCTTAGATAAACAGATTAATATAATGATTATTTTTTAGATTTAGTATTATAGATATGTTTTTAACAATATATAATTCAATTTTGTTTTCAACTTTTTTTATTGTATCAAATTATGACAATTATTATTTATTATTAGTATAATATATTGTTATTCTGTTTGATTAATTAGAATTTAAAATTAAATATAACATAAAATTAAAATAATATTTTTTATAATCAAAATATTATACTAATTTAAGGTTAACTATTTTACCAAACTTTTACATTTTTTTTACTAATAATTTTCTCAATATACTTCCTAAATCTCAATCTAATTTTCAAACTACTAATCATACATCTATTAATACTAAATTTAAATTACAAAACAAATACAAAACCTCTATATACTTCAAAGCTGTAAACACAAACAATATACTCTCTTCTGAATATACAATCACATCTCAGTTCTCCAACTCAATAGATGAAGATTTACAATTTATTCTTTTTGCTAAACCTCTTAAGCTATCAATCAGTACTCACAATGTTTGAGATTACAATAAAGATCTTAAACAGCAAATATGAAAGAATGTTTTTTAATAAACAATCTTAACATAGTTAGTATTACTAAAACTAAAATACTTAGCACAAATACAATAACAAAATTATAAAAATCTAAACACTTTACATACTACTAGTCATGCAACAACAGTTTAAAAACTGGTATTGCAATTATAATTAATAACTAGCTCAAACCACATGTCTGCAAAATATATAACCTTTCTGGTTATGATATTGATATTGATATTAAGCTTATTTTTAAACATAACTTTAAATTCTATATTATATCAATATATCTACCTTGTAATAACATCCAACTTAGATTAATTGTTTAAAATACTATCATTTTATAGTTTTAAAAAGTCACAAATTCAAACTTATAACCTATTATTCTGGAAAACTTCAATGCTCCTGATAATAAATTACATTCTTTCTTTATCAAATACAAATTATTATATTTTTTCTAATATAACAATATATATGATTTAGCTACTTATACTTAATCACTATCCAATACTTGGCAAAGCAACTGATTTCAAAGTCAAATTGATTACATTTGGATAAACTATTCAATTATCTACTACCTCACTTTATACAATACTGATGACTCTAAAACTAACACAAATAGTGATCATAAAATCTTAATTTTCTCTTGGTCTTTTCTTATTTTCATTCTAACAAATAATGTTCTATAACCAAAACTTGAAAAAAATATTTTTCTATAAAAAAATAAATAAAGAACTTTGGCAATTATATACTGACCAAGTAGCTACTAATCTTAGTTCTAACTATACATTTATAACTATTAATACAATAGAATTATTAGAAACAACATGACATAAAATTCAGATTAGTAGTATTTTAGTTGCACTTAAACATATTTCTAACAAAAAAGTCACAATATGCAATTTTTAATATATTGTAAGGTCCAATAATATGATATAAATATTCTGCTAGGACCTTATATAAGAATAGGTATAGTGATCAATTTCTTGATTTAAATATTCTGACAATTAATCATATTAATGTGATTAATTAAATAAATTAAGAAAATGAAATTAATTAAATAAAAAGAATTAATTAGAGAAGGAAGATTTGTTAAATAAATGTGTTTAAGTAAATAAATTAAAGGAATTAAATTAAAGGGTTTAATAAGAGTAATGTAATTAATAAAATTATAATAAAAAAGATATTATAAATAAAGGCTGAAATGGCCCTTTGGAGCAATATGCTTCATTTACTTTATTAAATAATAAATTCTAATACCCTACATTATACTTAATAAACACTAACATTATTACTGTTACAAATTCTGTGAACCCCTAATAATGTCACTGGTTAACCCTTGATCACATGACTTGCCCTATTTGTATTTATTGACCCAAAATAACAAAATCTTTAACTAC